GGCAAGGGGGGAGAGGTATTAGTGAGGTTATGTCGACCTCTCGACCGCAATTTTACGACACGCACCAGCATGTTGCACGACACAGCACAAATGTTGTTAAATTTTCAATGGAATAGGGTATGAACATCCAGTTTCATGTTTGCCAGCTGAAATTTTGGGTTTTATCGATCGTAAACAGAGGCATTGTGAGGACAAACAACTTTGCCCCTGGCTGGAAATTGATGGAGAAAAAAAATTCTAAGCGGATTCACCGGCCTCGAGGCAGAGGAGCACAGGAGACATTCTAATGATTTTCGATATTGTAAAATGCCTCTGGAACGTGTTTGGTCATTTTAGGGGGATAAAGTCAGGGTTTTTTCTCGGGACATTCATGGGAGGATGGACGATAGAGAGGTAGAGGATAAATAACGACGTACCTTCAACAGTTCCCTCCAAAAATCACACGCCTGTTATTTCTCCGTATTTTCTCTGAATGCAGTGCTCTCCCTTTGTTCGTCGGGAGATGGATAATTTCACGACGATCCGACGACGATGGATATTGTCTGTATGACTGAAGCTACGGGGTAACGATAAAATAACTCGCTGAGTTTACTTTTTCCCCAAACACAATGGCAAAATGAGCCGTTAATCGGGAAACTGTGTAGCTCTCACCGGCGCACGTTCCACACGTAGGACGGGGCCACTGCTCACACATGCGAGAGGGAACCTGGGTTGACGCATGCGCGAGGGACGCTCTGCCATATTGACTAAAACCGCGCGCTCTGGTTCACACGGGCAATGGGGGATACGTTTGAAATGTTCAATGCTCTTTCAGTCTGTTTGTTTTGGGAGTTCTAAATTTTCGCGATTTATTTGAGGAGAATTTTGCGGAAAAGTTCGTGGTTATTTTTGGAAATTAAGGTCTGGGGATTGTGGAGTTATAAATCGTGTGATCAGGATTGAGGAATTGGAATCATTCTTGAATTACACGTGTGGAAAAATTCAATAGACAAACTTGGCGAATTCGATAGAAATTTCTATTGGAATTCACCAAAAATTCTATTGGGATTCTGTTAAAATTCCATTTGTTTTTTTATTTTGGTTCTATTTGAATTTCGATTTTTCTATTTGGGTATTCTCTTGGAATTTTTTCTATGAGAATACTTAGGCATGAATTTTCCAAGTTTTATTCACTCGGATCCTATAATTCCAAACAAAACAAAATATAGCGGAAAAAACTCGGAAAATTCGCGCCCAATAATTGAAAAAAAAAATGTCAAGAGCAAAATTCAAACAGAAAAATCGTAATCTATTGACTTTCTCCCGAAACAAATAGAATTTTAATAGGATCCCCATACCTTCTACAGAATTCGCTAAGGTTTTCTATTAAATTTTTTTCATAAGTGTGAGAATTTTTTAATTTGGATTTGGAAAAGATTTTTTCTTCTCGAGAAATTGAATAGATTAATTTGACGCTACAGGCGATGCATTCCACAAAAACGAGAAGTTTTGTCAAAATTCCGCATCAAATTTTACGTCACGACACCAATAAATTGCATCAATTTCTCAAGCGAAATAATTTCTCTTCGATGAAGAAATCGTATGTTTCGTCATCAGGCCGAAAAAACTTTTCTGGCGAATATGAGTTAGAAAAGTTTTTTTATGCCGTATGTCGAATGATATTTTTTGTCATTCTGGTCGTAGGCAGCGAATGACAAAAAATGACGAAAAAACCTTTTCATTCCCGCATAGGGATCGCTCTGAGAATGAATGTTTGACTTCCTTTTTATAGACTTTTTTATGCATTTTTGATTGTTTTTCCTTTGAAAAAAAAGGGAGATCCCTGGAGTAAATAGCTCCTTCACACTCCAAATGACCAATAAAAATGTTTCATTGTTATGTTTTCCAAGCTGCACCGCCTCTCAAAGGGGTAATAAACTATTTTCCAAGGGTTTTAAACTAAACTACAGCCGAGCAGGAAAGGAGATGTTATCTCTTTGAGACGGGAAACTATTTGAATACTCCGAGGGCTTGAATATCTCAACACTTCTTCACCAAGTATTTATCCAATTTTCTCTTTCTCATTTGTATAAATTAGATTCGTCAAACTTTTAACACGTCTTGCATTATTCTTTGAGTTGAAAGTTACTCCATTTACCAATTCATGCAATACCCCGTTCCCAACGAGTCCATCGTTTTTCTCTTGATTTTGCATATTTCCAATCTCATCAACAGCTCTCACCCTCTTACGATGGATGTATTCCACCCAGGCTTCCATAAAGCTCGCAAAAACGTCACACCAGTGAAAAAGTTGTTCCACTGAAAGGAGAAAGGATTAAAAAGTGAAACAAGAAAAAGAACTTGTAGATCGCACTATCGATTGCCAGTTTGATTGAGGAGTTTCTGATGTACATGATGCTTTTTTCCTTTCCTTACCGAATAGAATGAGGGTTATAAAAGCGAAGGTTGTGGCAGGGACGAATACATAGGGTATCTGATTGTACGTCCATCTCAGGAGGGTAGGTGCCTCGTAAAAGAAAATTCCCGTGAGTGTATTGAACATCCACGGAAAATAGAGGAATGGTATTCTGTGCTTTTCACCGATTGTCAACAGAATTGTTGATAAAACTGCGGAGACGAATCTTCCCATTGTGATCTTGATTATGACGTCTGGAAATTCCAATAATTTCTCAATTATTCGAACCATTTTCAATTATAAATTTAATGATTTCGGAGGAAAATTATTTGGGTAAAAAACTCAATGAAAATTCTACTGGGATTGTTAGTGAAATTTTATTCGTTTTTCGGGGTTCAACAAAAAAAATTCGCCGTCATTCCGCGTTTTTTGCGGATATTAGAAAAGAGTGAATAGAATTTTCTAGCGAATGCGTTGGATTTGCGGTTGAATTTTTCCATAAGTGAAAGAAAATATCTCTAAAATCATTAAATTTATCGAAACATGTCCGAAGAATTTCTTCGTAGGGCATAAAATTCACTACAAGAAGCATCGCCTGTGAGAATTTCTCCAAACCTCTTCCTCTCGAGGATATTGTCAATATGATTGGGGGGCGTGGGCCAATATGAACACTTTTGACTTTTTTGAAATATTAATAATTCGTTGAACAGTTGAGGAATCCGTTTCCTCAATTTTTACTATTTTTTCCTCGCAAAATAAAATTCTTCCCTTTTGTAAAAATGAATCTGCTCCCGAGCGCCTGGAAATAGGTAGCCTCAAGAATTGAAAATTGCAAAAGTGATTTACGTCTCTCAAACAAATAATTTTTTAGCAGGAATAATTTTTTCTCTCAGTGCGAAGTACTAAAAAAATATTTGAACAAACGTCTGGGGTGTCACACTCCGCGCGAGGATCGAAGGGTTAAAAAAAAGTCGAGTGTTCATTTAGCCCAACCCTCCCCTACTTCATCAGCTCTCGAGAAAGCCAGCAATCATCTCCTCAATAGCTTTTGATTCCACATATAATACAGTTACGAATATGTAATTACTGTACGACCGCCGAAATATCGCACTGAACGCCGTCGACTTTGTCACAGAGTGCCCAAGCGGCGATCGTGCCCCAACTTCCAGGGTGATTGAACTCAGACAAGAAACCACAAGACACATAAGTCGTAAGTACCATGTTCTCGTCTGGAAAATTACATCCAACTTTGAAAGGGGGTTATAACCAATCAATAAACCCCGTACCACCGCCGCCCATCACTTACCTCCCTCACACCCTTCCCCCCAAAACTATAACTCTCCGATACCGAACCGTTAATTTCTTCATTCTTACTCGTCACCCCAAATTGCTTCATCCTCCCGGCTTGACAAATGAGACTTAAAATTTTTCAAATTTATTTCAACACTCGTGACAGCCATGATCCCTCATAAAAAAACTCGTGAAATAAATGAAGATCACGGTAACATGTACAATCAAAAGAGACTAAATTTTAATCCCAGCGCATGAGTTATTTTCAATGGTATGAATTTCTAATTTGCCGATGAAACAGACAAAAGACCTGTAGCCAATTGTGCACCGTAAAAATAGCTAAAAGTATGCCATCGAGCTTGATGTGTAATCCATCCAAGATGAGGCGCATTATAAAAACTCCAATCTCAACGACAATAACGCACAGCTGCATGAGAAGCCAGGGTGTATGAAGCATCGGATATCCCTGCCTTGCAAATACACAAAGGAAAAACCACTTTAATTAAATTTTTTTTCCTTCCACATTCAACTACCACATTAAAAAATTACCGTCATGGCACCCAGCATTATGAGTGTATAGTGCTCAATTCCCAGTATCGAAGTCATGAGCTTGAGGTCCCGTTCAACATTGGCTGGTACTTTGATAAAAAAAATCATTACTCTGTGCAATCCCTGAAAATTGAATGAGTCTCTCCATTTTTAAAAGTTACTTACCAACGTCAGAATCCCTTCTCCTGGTGATAGACCGTCCCGGTAGTTTATAATTTACGATACGAACGATGTCGAAAGCCGTAATCACCTGGAACCCAGGAAGGCGAAAACTTTCTGATGATTTTGCAATGAAATTCGCGATAAAATAGTCATGGGGATTATTACGATGGACTAACGGTCCCTATGAGTCCTAGGAGGATAACACACAGGTGGCTGCCCATGCTCCAGTGGTCGCATAATGTGCAAATAATTCGGCCAACTCGCTGAAAGCATAACAGTCTCCAATGAAAAAGCCACAGGATTAATTAAAAATTGGAAAAGCGGACAGGGGGATGAATATTTGGATGTGATTTTAATGATCCTCGTCATTCTGGAATTATCGGAATCCCTGATGCATGGTGAAATAATTGAAAGTGATGGGGGGTAGACGTTTAATCGATAACTGTCCCTCGGGTCATAGTGAAACTTGAGGGGATGAGTTCATACAGTGAGGGAGGGGATTTAACCAGCGGGCATATTCTGTCACACGACAATCAAACTACAGGAGGTTAATCAAGTTCTAGTGGTTTCCAACGAGATACCAGACTGTGCACAGCTTTGCCTGACAACTTTCCATTGCCTTTTGCTATTCCCCCAAATTCTCCAGCAACTCATTCTCCGTGGCTGAACGATACACTTAGAACTTTGATTTTTTTTCAACTTCAACTCACCGATTTTTTGTTTTTGTCGAATATACCAACGAAACGGCAGATTTCACATTTTTTCGACACTCTCATTATTTTTTATAGTTGTTTTGGGGGGGGGGTTTACTAATGTGGTAAGTTGCATTTAGTTTATGTTGAATTTACTGAATTTAGCTGCAGAAGAATGATGGCAGCACAACGTTTATCTCTTTTCTCATTATTTTCATCGCAAATTGAATTCTCGGACGAATTGAAATAATCGTAAAGCCGATAGGATTGTGGGAAATGAGAGACGTGATAAGAAAAGAAAGATTGTATTGTGGATGGTTTTTTATATTCTCAGAGGATATAAATACCAATGGACAACTGAATTCCACCTGCTCTCAACGGTTTCATCAGCCACAACTGACTGCTTTACCATTAAAAAATGCAATAATTATTTTCCGTTAATTTCTGAATATAGCTGCAGATTAAAAGGCAGAGCGAGCTGAAGTGTTGATCCCCGCAGTCCATCAATTCTCTTTAAAATTTCATGTCAGTGTAGAAAATTCATGAAATGAGTTATCAAATCGACGAGACTGGCTCCAATGAAGGACGTGTTAAGAAAGTTAAAGCTGCAGAAGGCCAAAGAGCGCTGGTATGTGGAGAAAAAAAAAATATAAACGAGATAGAATTTTTCATACGCCAAGGAATTTATTGAACTCCTATGAACATCAATACACATCGTTTATTAATTTTTCCTCTCCCGGTTCTTCTCTCAAAATAAAACAGCAACCAACAGACTGTAATGACGAGTCGGAAAAAACAGGAGCGGGCAAAATCGTTGAGCGTGAAAAAATCAGTGGAAATGTCAAAGCATGGTCCAACGAAATTTATCACACGATTCAGGCAATACTGTTGGCCTTTACTATTTTGGTGCTGAGTTATCATGGTCTACGTTATGGACCCATTGAATATAGTCTCTTGGAAAATGGTCAGAGCGTTCATGGCATGGTACCACCACGAAAAGCAGTGGTTACCCTCAGTCTCGGGTACTCGTTCACGTACTCGGTCATTTCCTCTCTGGCTGCATTCATGCTTGTTTATTCTCTAGTATCGGTGAGTAAACTTCATCAGAATGTTTACAATGTGTGACAGAACGAGAGACAGCGGGGGGTATGAACATTATCTGTGAATGCATTAAAATATTTTATGCGCAGATGAAACCTTATTGGAGTCTACCCACGATTGTTCTGTGTATGGCTGAGGTTGTATGGGAAGTTGGCGATGCCATTGTAGCTGTTTGGCTCTTGTTCACACGTCTCAGATTCACCACTGCTCTCACATACACCGCCGGTGCTGCATTCGTTATTAGTATGTTTTGATGGTTTCGATATTATGCATATTTGGTAATTAATTAAAACTTTATCATTTCAGTTAGGCAGTTTTAATTGGATTTTATAGTCGCGACGTATTGGCTTTGCAGTTGAAATGCGAAAGTAATGGAAATTACAGGGTTCGTTATTTTGAAAGGTTGAATTTTACGGAGGGAAAAAATTCTAGTTATGCCCCGGTGGAAATGATGAGAGCTCGGGAACACTGCTATTTGTGGGTTTTTTAGAGTGGTTTTTGATTCGGTGGATATTCGCAACCATTTCCATGAGAATTTTCGAGATAGTTGAGTGCAATTTGTGAGTGGTTTGTGATATTCATCCTGAGGGGGACGGCCCCTCCACTTATTTTCTATTTGAAACGATAGGTCGGGACTCAATTTCAATATTTATTGGGGATTTATCGGGTTTCGTTGTGAAATGTATGGAAAATTCTCTGGAAAAGTGTTCGAGATTTTCAGTTTCTAGGGCTGTTGTGCTTATTTTCTCTTATAAATAAATTTTTTCTCTCGTATGCCCTTTCGGGTCTTTACGATTTATTTCCTTCCCGCCCTCAACCGCATTCCCCTGTACCGCATTCCCCGAAGGACAAGGGAAAACCTCAGTTGAGGGAAAAACCTGCCCAGGTGCAGTCGTCTCTTGTGAGACTCCCGCTTGACAAATGAAACTTTGAGATTTAGAGTGTCAAATTTTGGACCCCCAGCCGGGAATTGAACCCGGGTCTACCGCGTGCCAATCGCACACTCTACACGGAGACAAATATTCAATAAAAATGACGTATTTTTTTCGTAATTCCGGAGCGAAATGTGGTTGTAGGAAATTTTACGCAACTGTCACAGAAAATTACGATACCGTCACTTAAATTTTCTGAGTCCATTCCGTAAACGGTGAGCGAATTATGAGTTCCGTAATTTTTACTGAACATTTCTCTGCGTGTAACCACACAGCAACCGCCATCGGTATTTTCTCTTACATATTGTCCATTTTTTGGAAATAAATGTAGAACATGCAGCGCAGAAATTAATTTGCCCCAATTTGCAATTGCTTTGACGTAAAAATGTCATTCAATGGGTGAACTGAAATATTTCATAATGACAGGTACTGAATATTCACATTCGTCTCTATTCAAAACGTCAAGTTCAGATAAAATACAGAAATTCTGTAGAAATTCATCATCTGATGAGTAATATTTCAATAGTAAGTTATGTTCGCAATTCATAAAATGAATGCCATTACGGTACTTTATTCCTCTGATGTTTATTCAACTCTTGGGAAAAATACAAATATACGAGACGCGTTGCAGAAAATCTCCCGCTCCGCATTGTATCATTATTTTCAGTCTTTTCAATGTAGAGTGAATCTCTGACACATTGATATTAATTCTTACTATTATGATAATTCGCTTTCAATATTGATCGAGAATTTATCGTGTTTTATCGCGAGATAGATGCTAAGTTTTTTGAAAAAGTGTTGGTGATTTTTAATTTTTAGCGTTACTGTGCTTGATCTCTTTGACGTATTATCAATTTCTAAGAAAAAATGCACAACAGGTAGCGCGGAAATTGATTTTCCCCAATTTGCAATCGATGTTATGTGAAAAGAAAATTTAATGAGACTGTAAATTTAAAAAATTTTACTCAATATCGTGATTCAACTTTTTACTATTAATGGAAATTTAATTTTTTAATCCATTGAAATTTCAGCATCTGCTGAGCACATAGTTTAATTAATTAATTTATCCGGTTTCATGAGAGAGTGAAAAATTGACAATATGAAAATTAGAAGACAAAAAATCGAAATTTAAAAGAACAAAAACCATTAATTTGATGAAAAATTAATTCTCAAAAATAATATTAACCAAACGAGTATAAAATGGAGCATATTTTAATATGATACGCTTTATTCCGTTGATGTTTCCTCAAGTCTTGGGGAAAATAAAAATACAAGGATCGTGTTGCATAGTATGTAATCCAAGAATCTGTTCGCTCTTCATTATATTATAATTTTCAGACCTTTTAATGTACAGACTCATGTGGTATATGTTCGCATGAAAAGGATCCAATTTATCCATATTGAGTTATGTACACTCCAATAATATCGATAACATTCTGCACACTTTAGGCCCGAAATTACCTCGATAGCATGAAAAATTTGCGGTTAGAGAATCTTCAAAAAATGTTTCAACACTGGTTTAAATGAGAGCCCTTTCCACACGGACGCGCACATATTAATATTGATTCTCGCTGTATTATACTAAACCACTTTTTTTTCAACCAATTTTATTAAATGCATTCTTGTTTCAGTGGGAGAACTATGGTGCTGGCTCGGTGTAGTTCGCCTGTACGAGCTGAGATCTTTCGAGTAGAATTCACAAGAATATCATTTCAGACTTCAGACATTAAAATCGAATTTTTTGCAAATAAAATTCCGCATCTAAATTGAGAATACAATGGCAGTTTTATCTTGAGATAGTAGCAACGTTCGGCTATGACCTGTGAACCCCCTCCGGAAATATCACTGGGCATGTAAAACGATGGGAGATATTCCAAGATATATTGTTGAGAATTTCCACTCCGATGCATTTCTCTCTTCTAAAATATCCAATAACGACGATATATTCAATAATGCATGTATCCATCATACAAAAGGATTCAATAGTCACTTACCCAGCGCAGAAAGAGTTATAAGCATCTCTCATACATTTCTTTTCATCCCGGGATTCTGCAGCCAATTTTTTTAAAATTACCTCGAAGAAAGCGTGACAAGGAACAGGCGACACTTGGAGACTTCCATCCGTGCTAATTGCTGCATTTTTCATCGGTTTGCATAACTCATTCGATCTACAAATGTCATCCGAACGTCAGCCAAGCACTCAGACATGAAAAGAATATCATAGAACTTTATCAAAGAGCTCTATTTGAAATTTTGTTAGTGCTTCGCCGACTCATTGAAAAATTCCGCAGCTTGCCCACAATTAAAATTTTGGATGAAAAATATTTTATGGATAAAATTAATAAAGTTTCATCTTTTTTACGACTTATTGTTTTAGATATTTCCTTTAGAATTTGCTCGGTATAAATGTCACATAATTTTTGAAAACTAGATTTTTTTCTCTTTCCAAGTTTTGAATTTTGATGTGAATATTTCTATATTTTTATGATGAGGACAATTTTGGGAAAAAGTCTTTTTTCATCACAACGTGTGGAGGGTGAGTAGAATTTCATCAATCACGCGAGACGTGCGTGAAATTTCACTTTACGCACAAGTGACAAAAAACACTTTTACGCACTCGTATCGATATATACTATTATATAAATCTTCTTGAAAATTCGAATAAAGGCGAGGATGTTGCATACTGCAGCAATCAACGTAGAAACTTCTAGGAAATTCTAGAACTTCTTGGAAAATTCTTAACACTAGTCTGGTCACCGAACGCCCCCTGCGGCTCTGGTTACCGCCACGGGGATTCCCCGCCGTCTTTAAGCTCTAGCCTTGCCGAATTCACTCTACACTGCCCGGGCGCGTTTAGCGAGTTTCCGGCAACGTCGCGTGATGGGCAATTTCATTTAACACGGGAAAAAATAATTCATCTGTTCGGAATAATTTGTTTTCTTTAGGAATTTCGGGAAAAATGTTGTTCTAAAAATTACCATAATTTTTTAAACCCTTCAATTGACAAAGTCAAATTTTTTGGAATTTTCCCGATTAGCCAGTCAACTGTAATTAAGAAAAACGACGCGTGGCGGGGTTTTCCTCATATGGTGACCAATCTAGGGTTAAACATTCCGGAGAATTCTAGAAATTTACTCAGTTTTAGAAAGATACGAGAAAGGGTTTCCATGCTGCAGAAAATTTGGAGCATCCCCGAAAAACTTGAAGAAATACGGCGGACAAAAATCTATTGATTTTTTCTGCAAAATATTTTCCGTTGAAATTTTCAATTTAAAAAAACGCAGAATAGCTGCAGACGTTTCCAATAGAATCGTCGAAAACCTGATGGAATTTTTATCAAAAATTCAATAGTATTTTGCGCGTTTAGCCGGGAAAAAGAATTTTCCAGCGGGTGCACTAGATTGCTGTGTGCAATTTTTTCCGTAAGTGCATATCTATCGTTAACAACCATTCCAACTAGCGAACCAACCGGCAAAGATAATCCTTCAAGTATTTTATCCCATCAATTTGCAGTGGATTCACTGCAATCCCAGCGTAAGTCCACAATAACTGAGATTTCACTGCAATCTCCAGCAACTTGCCATCAAATTTAGTATACACTTCCCCGAGAATAGATTTTCTGAAGAGCGTTGAAGCGACAATATCGATGCTGCGTACATTCGTATATCTCTCAGTAAGTGCACTCACTGCGTCTTCTGTGGCGCCGAAATTCAGCGTGAGTGAAGTATTGACAGGTGCTGAGGAAGTCTCGGGTACATGTCGTTGAAGATTCACCAGATACACCTGCGAACATCCATGCATGACGAAAAATTCCCAACGAGAAAACGAAAAAAAACCCACTAATAAAACGTATGAATCCTCAAACAGCGAAAAAAAAAAATCGAAATATGAATATTCTGATAAATACATGAAGCTCGGGAAACTCGCGTGCTGATGATTCAATGGCACAGAGTTCATCCTGTGTCCAGGCGTGACTGGCATGCTTGATGCAATAAACATTTGGATAGTCCTCAATTTCAACATTTCGTGATACGCTACAATACCAGGGAATAAAATAGCACTGTGAGAATGAAAAATATCGATTTAAAAAAAGGTCACACTATTTCATACCGACACCTCGGTTTCCTATCCACTGCAAAGAGAATGATGGTGACAAATGCGAGGGCTATGAAAGCAGCAGATACGATGCAGACGGTCGTGAAAATACTGAACAGGTGGGATGGCCATTCTGCCAAATGCATCGCAACGCCCCTCATAATAACTGGTTTTAAAGCTGGATAATAATGTTGAAATGATGAATTAATATCCTCATCGTCATCGATCAGCAGTGGCTGGGCCTCCGCGTCGTTATCTGAAAAAGTAATTAATCTCTCTCGTCCATTCATTCACCCACTGGTTAATAGCACGTGCGGAAATAAACATTAACATTACCCCGTGTCTTCCTCATTTTGACGGTTTTATTACACTGGCATTCTGCATTGCTAAGTGGGCCATTTCATAAATGATATTAAAACCGAGTCAGCAAAATTTCACAATCGGTTTTACCCAATGGCGTTGGAACACTCCTGTGCACTGCAATGAGGCTTTGTAAATCCCACCAAATGACATAATTCTCGGTAAATCAATTACTCGCATTAATGCAACGAAGTCAGCTACATGTGCGAGTGATTTTAATGTGAATGAAAACAACGCGCAAATGTCACAAACAATGACACAAGTTATCGCGTTGTATATTAAAAAATGCGTCGAAATAATTATTGGCTCTTCACATCACACACTCATTACCCGCTACGAGTTGGGAATTTTAATTGGGAAACAGGTGGGATGAAAAGGCATTTTAAATTCATTTGTAGAAAATATTATTTTTCATTTATCTTCAACGTCTCACTGAATACATTTTCTCCGTCTTCCCATTGCTCTTTTTCAGCATTACCTCATATTTTCATTCTAATACAACTCACAATGACTATCTGCAACAATGAAATGCAATGATAGCGGTAAATAATTTATCAGTTTAATTAACATTTGCGCAAAAGCTCGGCTGTAACGTGTTCACCTTCGATATTTTCATGCATATTTTCATTATCATAGTTCATAAATCATGTATAAACATGCACAGAGACGAAAAAGTTTTTTCGGCTTTAAAACGCGAAAGGGTACGTATGCGTGGGCGTTTGCGCATTGGCCTATATACACTATTATACCGGTACCATTGCATGCAGGTAATTGTTGAATTACATTCTAGAAATTATCCCCCTCATTCTTGCACATCACACGAGGTATTCACCCATACCGGAAGTTTAGCCCTCCTCCTCCCTGTTAAAGTTCACACAGGATATTGGCTATACGAAAAGACTAAACTTGACTTTATCAGGAGAATCTCCAGCTGCGATTAGCATAAAGCGATGGATAGAAAAGTTCCACCAAATATTCTCAAAAAGAACTTTGTATTTTTCTTGGCACACATTTTCCTCTTATTACATCATTCATACCGTAAAACTGTCCAGCAGTTTACTTTATTGTCTTATTCAAACTCCATTATCATACGTTTCAAAAAGACTATTCTGAAAATAAATACAGTAGTTCACATGATGATCAACCCTTTGTCATAATAATCCCGAATCTCATGAATTATCCACAATTTTTAAAACAACGTTTTATATTCATATTAAAAAGTACAAAGCAACAGCGACAGGAGTAAGAGAAATAAATTACACCTAGAGGAAAATAAACGTCAAACACTGGTGTGCGATACAGTTTGTTTAACATTATTTTCATGACTTTTTTTCCCACCGATAGGGACAATATCCTTGGTAGTCCCATCGCTGTCTGACGTACTACTGCTGGAGCTACTAGTTCTCGTCATTACATGATTGACATCCTGAAGCTGTGCATTCTCGTAACTTCGGCGATTCCGTGAAATAATCGAATTACCAGGAAGTCGGAGTTCCTTCCTCGTAGACTCGGGACTGGAGCCGGAGTGTGGGCTCTCAGCAAAGCCCGACTCAGGCGTTAATACAGACTCTGATGGTATTGTAACGATAATGTCATTTGGTGAAACTATTGAGTCAGATGAGGGTGAGGGAATGCTTGTGCAGGATTGTCGTGTTACTTCACCGAGATTTGCTGCTCTCCTGGGCTTTTCCATTTCTCCATCAGCATGTACAACTGGATGATGACGCTTCACTCTTACATCCGGCATTTCCCTAGTCCCTTTGACACCATTCATACTTCTTCTCATTACATTCAAATGCTCACGACTGCCAGTGTTTCTCCTTGAGCCAATTAAATTTTCACGACTACCAACGTACAAATTCCTCGCACTACCATTCCAGCAGTCTGGTCTCTCTAAAGGCACTAAAATGTATTTTCTCGAACCACTCAGATTTCTCCTCGATCCATTGAGCGATCTCTTCTCATCCTCAATGTGAGGGTAATTCTTGTGATTAAGATTTCTCCTCGAGCCACTCAACGACCTCCTCTCCTCATCCAACAATGGATACCTCAGCAAAGTCCTCCTGGGACCCACTGATCTAACGAAATTCTCCTCCCGCATCATATCCCCATCCCTCGTCTCCTCCTCGTACACAATCTCACCGCTGTTTTTTAAAATTTCACGATTAACCGCCTCGGGTAATTGCTGCAACTCCATGTCTCCAATTACCTGAATAGCATCAGGATCTACCTCAACCACTCGGTAAGCCGAGTCACGGTGGGGTTGGGGTAGTAAATGTGGACTTGGCATACGCTGTTGACTCTCACGACACACTCGGCAGAAAGTGTGCTCCTCGAGGCTATTATCACTCTTGGTGCTCTCAGTCCTCACCATTGAGCTTGGAATTATCACTGGATGACGATGATGATGCGAATGAGGGTAATGATGATGAGTGTCGTGATATGGCTCCATCAAGAGTCCATCTTCATCCATTGGAAAACCTGAAAAGCCCTCTAAACTTTCATTCCTCGGCATTTTTTTTCCTCAAGAAAATAGAGAGATGAGTCTTAGGAGAAACCTTCACCCCGACAATTCAACAGACAACCACATCCGCATTGTTTAATGTTTTAGTGGATGAGCCCAACCAATGAATTTTCAACTTATTATGCTTATTATTCCCAGTCGACCGCACAACATGAACCCATGAACCTCTCAGTCACCCCCTCCCCCACCCAAATACCCATTGAACACATTTTAAATTTAAGCTCGTGGGGTCTCATCAATCAGTGGAATGTCGATATGGAGCTTGGGAGGTCCTTGAAACGATGTATCCTGGGGTGACACCAGATAACCAGACCCATCGCTCTGTGTGTACGTAGTCAATATCACAGGCGCTGTACGCGGCTCACTGGCTATTTTCCTCAGTCCACCGGCATCTATGAAATTACATCCAGCACCAATAGACAATGAGACAAAATGCAAGAATGAAAAAGGAGATCAATAAGTTCCAACTACATGTCTATTAGAAAGCATTAAAATGTAACAGCACAATTCCATTGAGAAGCGGTTAAACCATGCGCATTACAAGCATCTAAATACAAAATAGCTGCAAATCTCTCTTTCAAGTCCCCCCTCCCCCCGGCATCTGTTTATTTTCCTCATTAACACGAGCACTGCGTCACTCGTCAATAATGAGAGAAGCAAACACAAAGGTGTTAAGTTATCAGTTATGTTATATTTTTGCAACAGTTGATTGCCAGTAATTAGGTAAATCGATACAACAAAACGATAAAGAAATTAAATAAATACTTACCATTCCCATGGCGCAATTCATCTTGCACCCGATAGAACTCAGCTAGTTCACGTCCCGAGCACAAGGGCGTATCCACTTGTGTCGTTGTATTGAACAATGAATGATCCACTTCGTATCCCTGTCGCTCCTTGGAGTAACTGACCATGGGCTCAAATCTGTGGCCCCACAGTATCTCCTGGGGCAGATAACTCGAGCGTGCTTGAGTTGTTTGTCCAGTCGACTCGATTGTTCCCTCGAGTATAACAACCACCTCAAATCTCTCAGTCAACATATCCTCAGCCGACATACTGTAGAACGGTGAATTTGAATTGATTTTATGGATTATCGTCATCGGCCAAATGAAGAATATACTTCCATTGTGGCCGTCAGTGCCAACATCGAGCTCCTGCTGATGTTGCGCCATTACTTCGCCCTCCTTGGTTGTTCTAGTGCGAATAACTTGTGCGCGCACTGTTGCACCAATTATGTGTGATTTTCTCATGTCAGCAACGCGAAACATAAGACTCAATTCACCGTCACGCTGACATATTACAGCATTTCGGGAGAACAGGAGGGTCTGTGTGCGCTGTTTGGGACGGCTCATCTTGGCAAATACAATGCCGACCATGAAAGCTTGGATCATTACCCCAGCGATACTCTGTATACACATGACAAATATTGCCTCCGGACACTCCTCGGATGTTGCCCTACTGCCATAACCAATGGTGTGCTGTGTCTCGATTGAGAACAAGAAGCAACTTGTAAATGAGTGAACATTGTATATACAGGGCGTCCAGTGATTCAACTCCTGCATGCCCGGCAAGTGTCTCTCGTCAAAATCCCCGTGGGTGAAGGCAATCAGCCACCAGATAACAGCGAAGCCCAGCCACGAGAGGACAAAACTCAGGGAGAAACACAGCAGTGTCCAGCGCCACTGTGTATCAACGAGGGTGGTAAATATGTCCTGGAGAAAGCGCAGGGAACGACGGGATATGCGAGACTGGAGGACATTGCACTCGCCATTCTTCAGTACAGCACGGCGACGTATCTTTCGCACTGGACCCGATCGATATCTGCTCCTGGAATGTGGAAAATTCGGCCTGGATTAGTGCATCAAGTGGTTTAAGGTCACAGTTTATTTGCCATGATGACAGGCATTGATTGCAGTTTAGCGTATTTATCATTCTGCAAATAAGATAAGAGCTCTCTCGTGTTGCTGGTAATTAATGCTAATTAATTGCCGGAAAAATAGGATCATTAGGAGAAACGTCAAAGAGTCTTTGGGATTTGCTTTTTTACGAGGGCTTTGAGGTGATTGTCGTAACGAGTGAATCGCGACTCATTGTTCATTCACATTCAACTGACCGAGAAATATCATTGTCATCAGCACTCCATTGTGGACGTAATTCACAAACAACATCACATGCCGCCTGAATTCAATCGACTTCCAAGTGACAAAACTCGTTGTTCACCTCGTGTTATTAGTGAATTTCACACGGCAGTCCGCAGTTATAGTTGAGCATCGTCTCATAAATTTTCTCATGACGTATTGCCGCTCGTTATATTTGATAGAGGATGAACCTTGGCCTTACCCGCTGGCTTTCCCAACTTTGTAAATACATATTTATCATCAAAAACCAACGCTGTTAACTCAACGTTACAGAGGCTTAAGGCATCACCAAGTTTTCGTGAATAAACGTGTTTAAGTACAATTTATCATTGCAAACCTTCCACGAGTCTGGTACACTGGGGGAGTTGATGGAGGGCACATATCGTGGAGCCAGTGACATAAAATACTGTTGTACAGATAAGCTCGGAAAACAGGCGAGTCGACAAACCTCAAATCAAACTATGTACCCTTTCGTATATTTCTCCCATCCCCTTGTCATCTCTACCACCAGCCCACTCCATTTCCATTTACCTCGTCGTTAGTATCATCCCCCTGTGCAAATCTACGGGTTCAAAGTTTCAATGGCCACGGCAATTGTTCATTGGAAAATTATTACTCACGCGAATTCATGACACGTTTTTTTTATTTTCTTTGTTAATCCCTGAAATTGATACTGCCGCGCTTGTCTTTTGGCACATGCGAGTGCACGTTTTATCGACTTTCGATGGTAAAAAAAATGATATCATCGGACAAACGAGGTATATCTTGATTATGATGTGATACACGTTTTTCGCCTTTCTTTTGTATTGAAGATAATGGCAAGAGAAATAAATGGAAACATCGAGATTATATTGTGAGGAGTGAATTGAGGCGTTCGGGGAGTATTGCTGAGTTAATTACTGGGTCATGTCATGCGTTGACATTTAATTGATTCATGTAGATGAGTATTTCGTAATTCCGGCGCAAGAGATTAATCACTGAGACACGTGTAATCATACGATTTTGAATTTCGCTTCTTCACTCTGGTTTGAAGCGTAAAACATTGATAATCACCAGTGCCCGTTTTTTCTATTCACTTTTTCCAACTAGGAAGTGGTACCCGGATTGATTTTACATGTCAGTGAGTCAGAGGGCTCAGGAACTAACTAACGAACACTAGGATTGAATCGTCGAGCCGTCTAATTAACATATTCTCCAAATTATCCTCTGATGAATGATGTATTCCAGGACGCTTAGCGCGTTATCTTCCCCTTGTATCATGATACGTATTAGATCTACATCGCATACATAACAAACCTGTCAATATTAAATTTATGATTCCCATTAATTAACAGCAGTAATGACATACTATTTCGATATAACGATTGGTTTGGTGCACCACACGTGGGCAAATACACCCATATTAGCGGACAATAATTGATATCCTCGACCAGATGAACAGCTAGAGCAATAATTAATAATCGATTAAACAAAAATGCAGATAGACGACTGTTTCCAACGCAATAAACACTCAATATGTCTTTTCAATATCTACCTGCTTCTGAACGAAGGATTCGGACTCTGGCAATTGCTCTTCGCAACTTTGATGACAATCGGTGTTTGACACCTCGACGGCAGTAATTTCTGATCATCACCACTCTCTGGACTTGCCGAATTTCCATGATTTATCTTACTCTTCATATCACCATTCATTTCAATGGAATTATTATTCTTTCCCATAGATGTTAATCTCAAAATCTACGTAACACTCTTGACCTTTTAAATTGTAAAATGTCTCAGTAACCTTGATACTAGATAACTCAATACTCTCCAACAACAAGACCAAGATAATGACTTATCGATCCAAGAGGCAGTTTATCGTGTCGATGTGAATCGTGGAGAAATTGGGTCAGGTGCACCACAAGGAACTCTGCCCATCGACCATGAGTCTCGACTGAATATCAACGACACATGAACATATTTGCATGTGTTCCAGGTACTAAATTGTCTCCCTTCTCTCTTCCTCCCTGGCTCTCTCACTCCACACTAAAGTGCTGACAGTACTTCCTCTATTGTTTACCGAAAAACCCAGGAACAAAGAAAACTAAAGTTGTAAATGTCCAAATGTTCTTATCATGTGGTCTACAACTACTGGAACGTGACAAAACTGATACTGTGCTGGGACTGACATGTAGCGTCTTATATGCTCCTGCAACACCTGACCACTGACGGTCACTTATCAGCCACTAACAGAGCACAGTTTGCTCTTGTTATTTGCGAAAAAAAAAGAAATATCCAGCATTGAATGTTCCGCGCTTCTCCGTATTTTCACGTGTCGTCATCGAAAGACTGCGAGCGTCCATTTCTATTTTTACATTTGACATATGAATTTCCTGCTATCGAAGATCTATTCACCAAAATAATTCCAATCACCTTCATCATGCCGATTGTTATCAAGGGAATAACTTTCGAATTGTCATAGGAGAATATTCTTATCACTCGAGTGAAATGAAACTAGCACACCAACACTTGACACATTGGAGTGGCTCAAGTACTAGTTGATAACTGTTTGACACGATGAATGGCATCTTGATTGCACCGCAAATTAGTATCATTGAATAACCCACTCAGCGATTTGACAATGACAACACCGAAAAACGTCAGCCCCGAGGAGACACAGACGACTGACAAGGCCCGATGTGCTCCTTATCACTGTACACTCGCAGATATCTCTCTCTCTCTCTCTCTCGACTCGTTACTGAATTGTTATCAGGAGGTAGAATGATTCCTTCGGCAACTTCACTGAAAATCGCTGATTACGCATCTCTCACGAAAGCAATCCTACGTTCGATGTAGTCTGAGTGAGTTAACCAAAGTACTTGCAAACTCAGCAGTTATTATCAAACCATCGCTTTATTTATCCCCCAATCTCATTCGTCCCGATCAGTGAAATAAAAAAGATGAGCGAAGCATAGAATTCCCCCTTTCCACGGAGTTGCACCTCAATTAGTCACAATTCCTTTATCTCATCGAGTCACTCGCCACAAATCCCCTGTAGTAATAAAAGCCCACCGAGTGAAGGAACTAAAAAACATGCAAAACCATTTTGCGATCGCCTTTGATACCATCCATCCGCTATCAACTACCTCCGATCAGACCACCGGAAGTTAACGATTACAGTGCCACGGGGATTACCGTGCTCATTGTTATTACGTTCGCGTTTAATGTTCTCAAGAGTGTTAAAAAAAGTATCAAGTTTGCTCCATGAACGAGAGAGTTAACTATTATCATTCGCAACTCATAACCAACTGTAACACTGGACCGAAAAGTTTGTGCCCGCACATGAAGAGCCGCGGAACCTGTCGCATCAAGGGACCCGACACAATGCGAGTGCCCGGAAAGGGTCGATCAACGTCACTGGCAGATTAGAGCCAAGAGGAATTAATTTATTCCCTCCGCCTCCTCTCTACATAAGCCAAATCATAAACAATGTAATTATACGAGTAACGAGAGACACACAAAAGGAGGTGGAATCAAATGATTCACGATGATCATGAAATATCTGGGCCCTGGCTACATTCATCATCACTACTAGTTTCTCAGTTAATTCGCGTGATTGTTGTGCACATTACATGTGGGTTGTCACTGCAATTGGTTATCTAATTATTGCTTGAATGCAGAAATGAGGAAGTGAGGGAAGAAGTTGAGGAGAATTGCAAATCGAGGATTCAAGTCGCACGGATAGAAAGTTTCGATCGAATTTTTTGTGTCAAATACTGGAATTTTTTGGCATGCCGGTGACATTGCCATTGAAAAAAGCCATGTTTTCATGATTTGGGAGAGAAAAACCGTAAATTACAGTTGAATTATTCAGTGAAAATGGAGAAAAATTTTAAAAGTTTAGCTAAATTTATGAATTCATTAATTTTCAGCTGAATCTCAAAATTTCACAAGATATTTCCCCATGAATCGATAAAACTGTTAAATTTTTTTAATGCACAACTTCAGTAGCCTAAAACCTGACTCTTTCTACCTTGTGTAATTGCAACCAACCAGCTGTCTCTTCTCCTTGATACAGTTCGTCTCCTACCGAGTGTACGTCTCGTAGCTGTTGTCCTGACAATGTTATTCCTGGTTGTACCAGGGAGGAAGCTTCTCTGTTCACCGTATTTACAACCATTCGACATTCTACCACCAGTTCCCTCGATTTGAATTCACTTATGTAACATATATTCGGGTCTTTGGCACTACACGTTCCACTGAACCACATGAAAGACCTCATTATTCAGCAATCCTAGCTCTTTACATTCACTCATTCACTGAGGCATTCCGTTGTTTAATTGATTTCTTTTATGTATTTAATTGTTCTGACTATTTTGGATTGCTATTAAAATTATTGCTAATTGATGCTGATACAGGTGCCACGATGTATCGGTAATGAACGAATGGAACAACTGTAATAAGCCTGCCGTACCAATCATGTCGTGGTCATGAGAGACTCTGATGATTGCTTTTTTGTTCGTCGATGATTGTATGACGGAGAGCTACAGGACCGCGTGGGGACGGATTTAAGATAAGGGGGAGTTGTTGCGATAAATGGGACGAGACGCTGGCAATGCATGACAGAAGCCCGCCAGACATTTAATTATATTAATGTAACTGTTCTTGTCGTCATTGTTTATCGAACGCCTCTTTTGTATTTTATTATTTTGCAAACATCGATGGGAAGTTCGCAGAACGAGACGGGCGGGCCCTCTTGGCAGTGGGATCTCAGAATATAATTAATGTCGTATAGTTGAGGCCGCTCAGTTGAGAAATGTTTTCGCTTATTTCAATAATCGTTATTCTTTTCCTCGGAGTGGAGAAGATTTATCTCAATTCTTTGAATTTTTTCACTTGTTTATTTGATGGGTTTTATCAGGGGTGCGAATGTATCAGTGGAAATGGTACATTCCAACGGTCAGTGTGTGATGGCATTGCGTTTTTGATTGCACGTTTCTGATCAAATGCCACAGCTGTTGATGCATTTATAATGAGTGCTCGAGAATGAAATGTTTGATTTATTCGACGTGTTGTTGTGGGATTAATTGTTGGTATTTTTGGAGTGAGTGGACATACAGGTGTCGATGTAATTCGCGGATTATTGTGGAGGAAAACGTTGGGACAAGTTACTGAAACTGTTGAGTAATTGTGGAGTGAGATTCTGGTCTAAAAATTGACTGATTGACAGGTAATTTGTTCTCAAGTCGTAAAATTTATCTAGAATTTCGTAAAAAATTACGCCAGCGAACATAAATAATTATTCAATGTCTACGATTTTTTCTGTAACGTTGATCGATTCTCTTTCCCGGACATTGTACAGTGAATTTTCACTTTCGATCCTTCCCATGTGTTTCACATCGTTTGCCAAGAAAAATTAATGTACAGGTGCGGCAAATTTCGCTGTACAGGGAAGTCGAATTTTTGCCTCCACACGTGTCATTTTTTTTCTGAATGACTCGTAAGATATTTTTCATTAAAATACATTTCCCTCTACGATTACCATTTATTAATGTTCATGTTTACCGCAATTTCACATTATTTCTACTTGAAATTTATGAATTCACTTAAATTTTCACCTGAAATTCAAATTTCCGTAAGATTTTTCCCCATAAATCGATAAGATCTCCTCCACTTCAGGTTTTTTATTGAATTATATGATATTTCGTTCGACGATTACCTCTCGAAAACTAAAATTCGCCGAGATTTTCCGAATAACTCCTCAATTTTCCTTTCCACGTGCAATTTTCAAAATTCTGAAATGGATTGAAACGAAATATCTCGGTTGACAGGTACTCGTTACGGCACAAAGTAACGACCCATAACGTCCCTGTGTCATCTGTCGGCCATAACACGAGATAACGTAATGCAATTTGCGTGCACACGCTAGTGTCGGCAAAACTACTGAGAAGCAATGAGAAGTATCAATCAAAACAAACTTATTTTCCAAGAGCAATAATATTAGTCGAGTGTACATTAACAGCAATGTGCAATTTGAATCGAAACCCCGCGTATCTGTGCACATTTGTACCACGCTAATCAATTTTCCAACCACAGCCGGGTTGACAGAAGTGTGCACAAGGAATTACTTCAACTTTGAGTGCCGATAAACCTTGTCCAAGGCCACAGCAAATTACCCCAGGTGTATGTGCAGCACAAATAAAAAATAAAAGCCCACAAGTGAGACCAGAAACCGGTTAAAAATACTCCGGTTCATGCATTGATGCTGGACTTCCTAGTTTTACAAAATCAATTCAGAGAATTCACCGTATAATTCGTCATTACATTAATAACTGGTTACATCGTCATCAAACGCACGCATTACACTCCGCCATCAATCATCATCTAATAATAAATCCGATAATAACTGAAAATTGTTGAAGCTTCTGGTACCTGTATGAGTCCTGTCGACCAACGCCACCAATGCTGCTGCTCTGCGTGCTGACCCTCACCAGTGTGACATTCCTGGGTATCTGAATACTTCCCACATTTTTCTGCGACAAGAGCGGTGAATCCGCCCGCGGTGCATTCCCAGTATTGCCATGTGTCTCAGTTTCCTGCTCCTCCTCCTCCTCAATCGTACCAGGCAGCTTAAAGAGCTTCTGCGGCTCCTCCATTCCTGCTGTATCAATACTACCAATTCAACTTGCACCCCCAAAATCATTAAGTCCATAAATTCCGACTCTCCTTATTCGCTGCATAATTGATATCCCTTGGATAAATTAAACTATCACAAATTGTTGAGAAATGCCAATTGTCGAACCATTCAGCACGACGGATTGTATCGTTAAATAGCAAGTGTCGATGAGGAGTTTGCCCGGACGGGCATCGAAATCACCATGTGCATCATCCTCTTATCTCATTCGGATTGTCCCTAGATCGTTCGTCATCGTTTCAATTGGGGGCATCCTATACCGAGACGTTCAATCTGCAATGAAATAAATGATCGTTTTACACGGACAAATCCTGAACGATGACACTCAGTCGTGTTGAGTAATAATAGAGAGTAAAAACACCTAATCTTGTCTTTTTCACTGCGAATGCACGAGCTCAACTGTTTGAGATTCTCGCCCGCTGCACACGCTATTGTGCCAACGGATGCTCATGGCTTTTGTGCCCCTGTGGATGGCGGGGGATACTGTTCGTGCCACGAACGCATCATCCAGCCTCACTGTGTTAGTGTACTTCAATGAGTGTTACGAATATACTTGTATCTTTCGTTGGAAATTTAATCACGCGTATGAATGCAACACTTTATTTCATTAATTTATCTTTAGTTCAACCGGTTGTCCGTGAGGTTTACGGGAATCTCGTCGATTCACTGATCGAAGTTCAGAGGATTCTAGATGGAGTAACGGACTATGTACATTGGCATATTCAAATATACATTTTTTTTCACTCATGTCCGAGGGAGAGTTGTAAGTGTGGCCGGTGTACGAGCAACAGGTTGGTACGCGCTGGCGGTGGGTTTATAACGGACCATCAGAACCCGCATGATACTAAATCGAAGGACAATGTCGAGTGGGATTAGGTTTATCAATTACTGTGGGAGGACTCAGTTTTCGATCTTTCTTTCGTTCACGGAAAAAAAATATATTTGAATCAGGGATCCCCGTCAATATTAAATTTCTGTGATATACAAGGATTTGACCCTTACATTATTGAAGGTTTAAAATATTTTGGTTCAATTTTTCAAGTAATATAATATTAATAATCTGATTTGTTACGAATAATGATATGACTAAAATTTGTTAATATGAAACTGTAAATTTACTGCCAAGTGAATAATTCAAATTTCTTGAAAGGGAATTTTCGATAATAAATATAGATAAGTAATCGTCAATCTTCGTACCTCAAATTATTGATTGATAGAATAGTTGAAAATTTGAATATTTGAATTGATGATACTTAAGTACTCAAAAAATTTCAAGAGTCATGTTATCTAATTGAGGGCTACAATATTAACCGTAATAAAATATTACAAATTTGGCTATCCCGGATTTGAATTGAGTGTTAGGCTGGGTTGTAACAAGCCGTCTTCAGTGTAATGTAGGGGTCAGGCACTAAGTGTCAGAATATAAGGGTCAAAACATTGGGGCATATAAATAACTATTAACGAATGCACACGTGGGGAGACCAAATCCACCCCAGCGTTCAATCAAATTCATTTTTTAACAATAATCCTTTCCATCAGTGTAGACAGAGACAGAAAAGTTGGAGAAATATTATGAAGTAAATAACGGCAAATTTTTCCGAGCGAAATAGAATCGTGAAGCGAAATTATCAATGCAGATAAAAAAAATGAATAGTCGGCTCTAGAGAAAATTTCATATTTTGCTAAATAAAAAAATGACTCCTGTGGGAGCGAACATGTTTGTTCGAAATTTTTTGGAGGCAGTGACTGAGATTTACGCGCTCCGGGCAAAATATAGAATCGGTGATCGATATTTCGCTCCGTGATTATTCGAGTTCTTCAGTAATTTTTCATCAACATATGTAAATTTATAAATTAAATTGCGTGGCCGAAGTTCTAGAAGAATCAGGAATAATTCGCGTCATTCAGATTACATTGTGAAAAACAAATCATTTGTTTAAACATTCCGGTCTCATGCCTAAATTTTTGAGATTGTTCAAACTCTTGGGAATTTCATTGTTTGCATAAAATTCTGAATATGAACAAAACAATGATTTATAGAGAAAAAATGTAATTTCGAAAAAAGTAAGTTCAGATTAGAAGACTATTTTCTAACAGTTCAAAATAGAAAATAAATTGAAATTTAAGTAATCAAATCCTTCTAAAATGTTCAACTACGAATGCAGCAAAGAATTTGAACAAAAAAAAATGCGGGGAAAAACGCTACACTATTCCAGAATTCATTTGCATGAACATGTAGTCATGAATTTCTCAGAAGGTGATTGAACATAACAGATGATATCTTTCTCACTTTCCTGATCATTCGCAATTGATTAACGAGCTAAAAAGTTTCTAATGCTTCGTTACTCCGAGTTCTTTAGTTTTTGCGATGACCATTTTACGTCTACTTGTAATTTTATGAAGCATTTGCATAACTCTTGTACTTCCAACATTTTTATCTCCAAACGACCTCTACTCTGATACTCATACCGGTCACTCTCGTACCGCACACTCTCGTCGCCTCACACCTGAATTTTCAATTAATATTGTAGGAAATAATTTAAATGAAAGGGTATAAACTCAATAAATCCACTCCCCAAATAACTTTTTAAAAGAGTAGATATTGGTCCATATATTCTCGGATCGTCTTCTTTACAGAGTCGTCATTAAAAATGCAAACAATATAGTATTTGAATAATTATATCTCAGTCGGAAGAGTGCTCTTGCCCACGGTCCAGGGTAGACTATCGACGGTCCCGTTCATCGTGGGGACCCCAGACCCAGGTTCCATTTGTTTCGACTACGTCGAGATCTGCGTCGCCAACGGATCGATTGCTAAGAGGATGTTTACGCTATAGTACGCATGCATCTCTCCGGATAAAGCTAATTCCGTCCCTGGCTACGATTATCCAGTCCCAATATTAACACGTGGATATTCCCTTTACAATATAAACAATAAATTCAATCGGATGGTTATTTTTCTCGTGTCATTGGCAGACTCGAAAGTCAATGATTTTTCCTCTTTTTTATAATCACACGCCACTCTCCTCATATGAATGGAGGCATTGAGTGTTGTCCTCACAGTTTCACCGGCACGTCCCACCCATCACTCATTTCCCCCCTCTCTCTCTCTCACTCTTCACCTCAAACCATTAATTCCCCCAGCAGTAACAATAAAAACATAGAAATGAGTGAATTCCCCGCATAATCGAGAATGAGGTCCCCGGTACTCTGAATTTTCATATTAATCAACTGAAAATTTGCGCGCGTGTTCAAGCATAATGGAAGAATGTAGGCCGACACGCGATCGGATGTACCTTTCATTCGGCTCCCCCTCGTACATATTTATTATTTCTAATAACGCCTCATCTCACAATATTCACTGATGCACACACGATGCAAAGAAGTCAAGCGGAAGCACCTCTATTGCCGTATCATACCCAAGAGGCTTATTAAACAGGCTTGTCCAGAATCAGCTTACCCAGGATTAACCGTCCCCGAGGTACGAGACATCAGTTAAAAAATCGAAATTGCCTCGAAATACTGCGATTCTGAAGTACGTCAACATCAGAGGCTGCGTCAGAAGCCGAATGTGCAGCTCCGATCGATTGAACTTGTCGGCCTTTTATTTGAATATCACCAGCAACTTGCCGCCACGATTGGCCCGACCCACACGGTACACCTTCTACTGACGCACTCAATTCACGAAATACGTTAGAAACATGCCCTGTCACAATATCCACTTGATGGAACGTTTCTACTCGATCCTTTGAATGGTTTCACTCGTCTCTGAATTTTTAAAGGCACCATTGCGTTAACCAACTGCTCTACTATTTATTCACAAACCACTGTGCACCACTGGATGAAATATTCCCGGTGAATTATTATTTTTCAGTGAAACGCCTTGGCGCTCAACAGCAGAAAAACAAAACAGTCAGCGTTAAAAGAAGGCGGATACCGGCGAGTGCAATAGTGAACGTGCCGTCTCCTTCAGTGACGTCGACGTACGTTCTACACTCGCCTTTATCCCCCCTCCCCTCTCCGAGAACAACTTCCTCGGCAAACACAGACACACGCGTGGAAGTGGATTTTTTTTTGCGCTTTTGAGTTTTGTTTCGCATTTGGATTTTATTTCGTTTTGTTGCGTCTCGCACGCTCCCCTCAGTCGCACCTCTAGAGTCGCCCTTCTACTTATGCTGTCACCTTCCAGGGTAAACGCCTCGGCTCCGCGGGTTTACTCAGCGATATAATATTCAATTATACAGTCTGTGGGACATTCGAGAATGGGATAAGAGTGAATAGACAGTTGTTGGAATTGTCATTCGTCATTCTTGCTGGAATTTTTAGGTTGCCGGTCGGGCTTGCACACTGAGAAAAGACAAAGTTTTTTGGGAAGGAGGTTTTTACTTGTCAAGACATTCATGTTTCGAAAATTGAGAAGAACGATTCTGTGGTAAATTGGTTAACTGGGATGAGAACATTTTTTTCGAAAATGCATTTTTCGGTAAATCGCTCAGCATTAATTTGTGGAAGCGATTTAGACAAAAAAATTTTTTGGAAAAATGCTTTTATGCTAGTTTGCCTATTCACAACAGAAATGTTTTACACTGAAAAAAAAAATTTGGTTCATAACTAGAATTCAGATATTTTGGATTTGAGACTAAAAACAAATTAATAAACTGATTTAACTAGACCTGGTTTGAGGAATCAGTTTCTTGTCATAAATAAATTATGCTCGCCTCTGAGACGAGAACGAAATCTCTTGAAGAGAGTTTTTTTGCTCAGTGGTAGATAGTTTTATCTTATCAATTTTTAAACCACGAGTTTCTTGGTACAAGTGGAGGCGTAATTCTCAAAAAAAAAACATTTTTTATCAGTGTAGGGTTGGGAGACTGGTATATTTTATTTTAATGGGCATTCTTTTCTTTATTCGGGAATGATTCGGGCCGTTTAAGAAATGTGGTGTCATGCGGAGGATAAGGTTCCATTTTTAAGTGGAAAAGGACCGAGTGTTGGCCCCCAGTAGTAGTGTTGAGGTATATTTCACGAGAATGAATTTCGTAAAATGAGAAAGTCTGTTACTGTTGTCTTTTCTTAATTTAGAATGGACATCCCCTTTTTTTAATGATAATGATGCCGTTGAGAACGTTCACATATTAAATGAAGAATAATATTTCTTGTCCAATTTTACAATTTCGCTCGAAAGAAGTCTAAAATTGAAAAATTTTAGTTATTAAATTTGCCGAAGAATTCGTGGATAATCATCGCCATTTAAATTACATTTTACAAAAAATTACTCTTGTAATTATTCTCTTCGCATGAGTGAATAATGGAAATAATTAAAATTTTCGGAAGTCTTGTTTTTTGCGTAAAGAATTATGTTAGAGTTCTAAAATTAGGACAATTTGGTAACGATTAAAAAAAAATTGTTTTTAAGATGGAAAATTCAGTTATAAAGTAGTAAAATGCACTCATTTGTAAAATAGTAAACCGTACTATGAAAAATCCCTAAGATTTAAACCAATTTATTTCTTACAGGATTTTCTGTTTCAGTAATTTCAACAGTCCCCTTCCCCTTCCTCGTCTTCAGAGAATATTCATTTTGGAAGGAGGGGCGATATTTTTTCAACCGACGAAGCCAAACATCATGTTTCTCCTCCTAAATTTCAGTCGTGTCAAATTAAATTTCACCTTAATGCTACCACTTTCTACTATATCGTCTCTCAATTTTCACTATGTTCAACAGTAATTTTTGGATTCTATCATTTTTCAAAGGCGGCTTAAATCGAAGCGCGGAGGTTCAACTCCACATTCTGAATTATTCTCTCTTTAATCCGTGTTTAAGTACTTAATTCTTTCGCGGTAAAAATGTATTCTGTTTTGGACTTCTGGGAATATTCGGAGGTCTTCGTCCTGACTAGGACGCTCACCCAGCCCTTCTAATCGCTCCAACTGCGAGACGGCGCCCAGCATCCAGTTGTGCAGAAAAATGGGAGGATATTATGGCCGAACGTACTCCCACTCTTTATCCCTTTTTTTTAAACGGTAAAACGTTTCTTCGTAAATCACTGAAAAACCTGTTCCCCGGCGCTGGTTGAATAATTTCTCAGGTAAAAAATTAAGCGGACTGGCGAAGAGTTCGGCGCGGGAGGGCAGAGGGGCAGAAAAAATAGAGAATTCGGAGGTTGCGCTCTGGTTTCTGACCGATGGAATATTTCAACTAGGATTTCCTGGAGATCTGCCGGTTTTTTTCACTCGCATGCCAATGAACATGATTTTACTCTCATGTTTTTTCATGCCAATTATTATTCACGAGTCAATAAACCATTTCACGGCCAACAAAGACGAGGCAACAAGTTCCTCGCACGTCGGATTATCACAATAAAGTGTGTCTGACTCTGATGTTGTCTTCCACTTGAATAAATCTTTCAGATAGTTGAGTATGAGGGGAATATTTCGCGACGAGATAAAATCGAACAAATAAATCGTCAAAGATTGTATGAAAATTCATAATAAAAATTTTCCAATTCCAGATAATTTATGCATTAAAAAATTTGCAATTACAGAGATTATCGATGAAGAATAGAGTGAGTAACAACAAAAGCCGAGGAGAACAAACAGAGAGCATTATTCTCTTCCGGGTTGGATTAATCACGTTTCGCTGCTGGCGCCATCAACTAAAGATTTTTTTTTTCAAATTACACAGCAGTTTTATCGCATCCACGATTTTCTGTTTTTGCAAATTCGTCGAAAATACACGTGGGAGGAAAAAAATAATGACGTGGGGGGAACATAAGAGAGTGTCGATGAGTCAACGGGCGTCAAACACATACTCGTGTATCTGTGAGAGTAAACCGAGTGTTTAGTACGTGAACGAGATGTTGAGGAGTCTCTGCCTCTCTCTGCTTTTACGATCGTCAATTTTGACTCGACTTTTTACCATTTTTCATCTCTCATTCTTTCCGGTACCGCCTTCCAGCTCAATGGGTGACTCATGGGCTCCTCGGCGGCGGTTAATTGCTCTTGTCTTGAAATACGGGAACGTCATAGGTGGAGCTACTCAGTCATTATGAGGAAATGAAGAGTCAAATCCAGGAATACGAGAAACGGTATGAATTCACAGGCAAATTGAACTTTGCATTTATGCAAAAATTCAATGACAATCCCAGCGCAATCATTTTACTCGGGAATTTTACACGCAATTTCATCAGTTTTTTTCAGTGCGTATCTCTTCTACATATTTTTTGAACTGATATTTAGTGGGTGATAATCACTCATTTTTTATTTCTTTAGACAGTTATCTTTGGAAATTTTTCATACCAAAATTATTGGGCAGAAGTTCCTACATTTTTTCTCATATTTTTTAAAGCAGAGATGCAGTAAAGAACCGCGTGAACACTTCAGGAAATTTATGTCAAGAAAATTCTTGCAAAAAATTTCAACAGAACGATTTGCATGGGAAAATAAAAATCTATTGATGATTTCATCCTCATCTGTCTTTTCTGCACATTTTCCAACAGATCAGTGTTCAATGGATAATAAATAACTGCTTTTTCATTTTTCTTCAGACAGTTATCCTTTGAGATTTTTTACCTAGAAATTCCTAGGCATAAGTTCCTTCATATTTTTCTCATATGTATTCATGAGAGATGAAGTAAAAAATCGCGTCGAAACGTCAGACAATTTAAATCCAGAAATCTCTTTCAAAAAATTTCAACAGAATTATTTAAATGGAAAAATAAAAATCTATCAGTGATTTCTTCTATTGAATCTGTTTCGATCGCACTTGTTGATGTGAATCAATTATTAGATTTCGTTATCTACCTTTCCCACACATTCATCGCCAGATCAATATTCGATGGATAATAAATTTTTCATTTTTCATCAGAAAGTTATTCTCGAGTCTTTCATCTAAAAATTCCTGGGCATGAGTTCCTTGATTTTTTTCTTATATTTTTCGTGTTATGAGAAATTATGTCAAAAACTTTCTCTCAAAAAGACTCAACAGAATTCAAAATCATAAAAATTCAAAATCTGTCGATTAAATATATCTAAATCAATCTTCCATTGACTATTTTCCGATTGGATTTGTTTATGTGAATTATTTACTCGATTCCTCCATCTATTATGCAAAAGCAACGTTTTGAAACGCGAACTCATCATCCAGAAAAAGTGATGTAACAAGAATCGGTGAATCAAATTACCGTTTTATTAATTACATGATATTGTGGCTTGGAACGTTGTAGATCAGATTATTCCCCATTTGCGTCAATTTCTCAATGCACTGAATGATTCATCAAATCTTACGTTTCACAACCATGCCCAGAAATACTGAAGTCACTGAGAGGAGCATAAAATCACTCTCTCCAATATTTAAGAACAATTCTCAATGCGAATTATTCACGTCTTATGATTTTTCTAACTCAAGAAAGTTTTGAAGTAGTTGGTAAGTATCCGAAGAGCTCGAGCTGACGGGGCATTCGAGGGAAACACATCAAAGGAGAAGAAGACAACGAAGATGGAGGAGTTTTGTCTTTACGGCAAAGTACTCTGTAGTCAAAGTGTAATCGGGGCCGAAACTTTTTGTAAATAAATACAACTAAACTGAGAGGAGTCTCACTTTATGAATAAACTCAAACTCCTCTCGATTTCTTCTCTCCTTGAGGGTTTGAAATAGTTAAAATATTCCTCCCTGCCTGGCAAAATAATGGGGGAAAATTTTACAAATTCGCGTGTGGCTTGTTGCTTTTTTTACAACTAGACTAAACTGTCAAAAATTTTCGTCCCTCCCGTGTAGAAATTCAAGCGGAGATGCGGCTGAACCTCCGCTCCAGGAATAGGCAATAATATTAGATTTTGGCAATATTAAAAAATATTAAACTAAGTTAATAAAAAAAAATTGAAAAACTATCACACTTTTACTATTCACCGTATGTCACTGAATCATGGAATCAGCATATTGGCCCGAGGCCACGGTATGTTT